TGTTGTGAGCTATCTTCATGCTGAATTAATATGTGCCAGCAGAAGCGTTAGTTTGTTGCCTCTTTGTAAATCTCTTTTTTAGCTGCTAATCTTCCTATCATCTCTTAATGCATGCTTCTTTCTGGGCATCAGAAAACTGCACACTGGTGAGCATGTTGTGGTCTTACTATGGAAGGGGAGGTTTCAGAATAATATCCTTAATATATAAGAACAAATGCCTTAACCTAGAGCATGAAATGCTAAAAAGAGCACAGCAATGGCTTTTTGTTTGTCTAGGCTGTTCTTCCTGTCTTTACTGCTCCAGAAAAATGCATTGTGGTATTTAGAAAAATTTTATCTGGCAGTAGCTTTCTTTTGGAAAATTGGATAATATTACCTAGTAACTATTCAATACAGTATGCAAAGGGTCTGATTCCTTCCTATTTTTCTTTATTGGATTACAGTTAAACAAATAAATAGCTGTTAGAAACAAAATATAATTGTTACTAGGAGCTTAGATACCAGAATTTTTAAAAGGCTGATAATGGGAATAATACAAGACAGAAATATCACTTTGTCTTATTGACGCTCGTATGCAGCAGCCTCAGTTTATAAAAACCTACATGAAAGCTGTGAATAGCTATGAGCTCAAGAGAAGCTTAAAAAGTCCAGTAACTTTAATTGGATAAGAGGGAACACGATTCTGGTCTTCATAAATTAAATTAGAACATCATTTTCCTAAATGCTTAGTGAAACACTCTTGTCTAGGTATCTTTTTGTGTAACTGCAATCAGATGTTTACATAATAGTAGGTTATGTAAAATATAAATTTAACTATTTGTATAGTAGTTCACAATTCTCAAAACTCAGAATTTTGTAACTAAAAATTATACATTTACTAACCAACATATAATAATTGAAAATATGCATGCAGGAAAAATACTACTGCAGAAAATCACTGTATTTAGTCTGTAGATATTACTACCTTAAAACTAATTAAGTGGTAAGAAAAAATTCAGTTATCTTTCAGAGCAGCAAGATGAGAATACAAAGAAAAGCTCTATTTTATTTTCCTTAAATGCTATTTTGTCTCACTGAATTACAGTATATATTGCTAGTTCTTATGCCTGTATAAGTAGAAGTTCCCTATCACATTTACATTCAAGTTTAAGGTTGCAACTGAATAACTCTAAGATGCACACTAGTTATTATGAGATATCTATATATATAGATTAGATACAGATATACACACACAAATATATCTGTGTTTATACTGATATGTTCAGATTCCAAGTAGTACAAAACTGTCATGCTCCCCCCTTGGCTACAACAGGGCACTGCTGATAGAAATGCCTTCTAAATATTATTTCAAGAATGCTCTTTTCACTCACTGAATTAAGCTATATGCATATTTTTTTGTTTTGATAAGGGTAGCAGGAGTGCCAGTAGAGCTGGGAAAGTGATCATAAATTCTTGATTATCTGAGCTTGGCAGCATCTGGCTAATAAAGAAAACACAAATTTCAATTATGTTCCTAATTCTTTTTGCACAAAACCAAGCACCACAAATCTGGTACCTCTCTTAAAACTTTAGATGTTGGTTGAAAGATTTGATGCCCCAAGTGCACAGTAATACCAGGGTCATCACTGACTGATTTTTGGATTTTTGGCAGCCATCCAGAGTTCCCACTGGCTGCTTCTCCAGTGAACTCTGCAGCATGAACATTTCTCCAGAATTTCTCTCCTAGCACATACACAGCTCATAAATTGTTAATATTGTACAGTGTGAAAAAAAGGAACAAAACCTCCCAATTTCCTCCCTTCAGCTGGAAGAATTGTACAAGGATGTGGGGTCAGGTAAGGGGCCTCCTCTTCTGAGCTCTGTTTCAGTACCAGGGTTGAAATTGCAAGACAAACCAGAAAATACTGTTTATGTTTAAGCAAACATCCTAAGTAAGGTACTGTCATTTGACCTGTCACTACAGTAACAACAGAGGTAGCTGTAACAGTTTTACCAGAATATATAGAAGTGCAAGTAAAAAAATAAATCTTTCAGAAGTGAAATAAGTATTTAATACAGCAGCCTGCCATGGCAGTGGTTAATATTGGGCTTTATAGGGACTCTTCTGTTTTCCCCAGATTTTCAAGAACTAGCAAAACTTGTTACTGTTGTTTTCCACTTGTTATTTCTTTTCTTACTTGTTTACTAAGGCCTGTCAGCAGTAAGCCTGTATTTTAAAAGTTGATGCAGTAGTTTCTGTAAGACTTTGATGACTTCCAGCTCTTTTTCTGCACAGCAGCTTCTGCTTGAAGTAGGGATTAAATGTCAAACTAAAACAGTAACAGAAAAATAAAGCAAAGTGCACCTTTGCACGCATGCATGTTTTTCTCTGCCATCACTCACATTACCCATCTTAATTCATGAAGGAAGCTTAAAATTCCAAATAGAGGGAATCAGAGAAAAATTAATACCACTGTAGCCTAAATTTTGGTACTATGTGGGTGCTTATTTTTTTATTCATGGGCAGTCAATAACCATGCTCTTGGTTAGCCAGTCTCTCACTGTGAGAAATATTTTCCCAAACAGAAGTTATATTTTTTAATCAGATGTATTTTAGACACCATTAAAGAATAACTGCTAAGTTAATCATTAAAGTGGTTTTTGTTTCCTTAGATAAAGCCAAGAGAGACACTTTCAACCTCTCTGGCATAAATAAGTACCTTTGATAATTCAGACAGGATTATACAGCTTTACTATGGACTGCATGATCCTGGTGTCTCATACATTGTCCACTGAATCCAGTGAAAACAGTTGCCCCCAGTCTAAATGAAGCAGGCATAAGGCTCAAATATAATAATTTTTCATTAACTTATATTAATTACTAAAGGAATTATAATCAGAAGCTCTTGAGTTCCCGAACATTTTCCTGAACTCCCACAAAAAAATTCATTTCCTTGCTGTTATATGACCACACTGTTTGGCCATAAGTTCTACAAACATGGAAACTACAGGGGTAAATAGAGGTTACACTTTTCAAGGATTACAGCCTTGAAAGGCTTCACTTGTTAAAGCCTGCAATTTCAGTAGCTTCTCAAAACCAATTTAAATTGTATCTGCACATGTAATTTTATTTAGTCTTTGTTGTTCTCCATGTCTTAAGCTAAATTCCCTTTGCCTTAAAAATTATTGTGCAGAGAATGCCATAGGAGCAGTATAACTTAGCACTGAGCACTGGTTGTGCCTTTCTGGCAAAACCTAAGGCAAGATTATCTTTTTACAGGAGAGAGGGAATGGGCAAGGTTGGAAGGGAGCACAGTGGGTCCTCTGACCCAACCTCCCTGCTCAGAGTGATCCCAGAGCACATGGCACAGGATTGTGTCAGATGATTCTGGAATATCTCCAGTCAGGGAGACTCCACAGACTCTCTGGCCAGTCTGTTCCAGTGCATGGTCAGCTGCACAGTACAGAAGTTCTTCCTCACGTTCAGGTGGAGCTCCCTGTGCATCAGTTCCTCCCATTGCTCTTGTCCTGTTGCTCAGCACCCCTGAGCAGAGCCTGGTCCATCCTCTGACACCTCCCTGCAGATACTGGCGGGCACTGATGAGGTCCCCTCTCAGTCATCTCTCAAAGCTCCACAGGCAAAGCTCCCTCATCCCATCAAGTCATCTACATTATAGCACTTTGTTTTTCCTTGTAAAACATGGTAATAACACAATTTTGATTTTTCTATTAACTCTGCAGTAGAAGGTCACTGCCATCTTCAATGATTTCTTCAGAGGAGTCACTCTTGTGAAAAGCCTGTGCTCTTTTCTTACCTCAGTCCACAGAGATACTGGCATCTCTTCAGAGATGAGGAACTCTGCAACTCTTGCCCTAAGCTGCCAGGAAAGCATCAATATCAAAGCTTCCCAGTTGAAATAATCACTTTCTTTGCTGGCACTGAGTACAATTTTATAATATAAATAGCAACTGTTTCCAACTGTGTCCAGACCAAATTACTTCAATGATATCCATTAGCATCTGTACTATGAAATTCATCACTCAATACAATATTAGGAACAACTCAGTACAATATTAGGAAAGAATAAAGCACAATATCAACTTTAAATTACAGTTTAAAAAGAAATATCAAAAACTGCTTCTTGTATCTATTAAGTTCCATCATCTGAATGCGTTCAGTCATCTCATATTGGTTTCGTGATTCCTCCATTATTTCTGTACATCACATTAAAGAGATACCAAATCCCACACAAACATTAAATGCAGTTCCATGTTACCCTGCTCTGCAAACAAATGTGATTTTTTTTTTCCTTTCTTTCTTGATCATGGTTGCTGTAAAAAAGAACAAGTTAGGAATTTCCAGATTTCTGCTGTCCCAGTGAAGGACATGCAGTGCCTTAATCACCTTGTGGCTTGCTGGCCACGAGCCCCATTCCCCTGGCCTAACGAGACACTTTTCCATCCTGCCCTGAGCATGCCCCTGTTCCCTTGGCTAAGTGCACTGGAAGCCCGTGGAGAGAAGTTCCTGTGAGGTGCAGCTTCAAGACCAAACCTGTCCCCCACATCCAAACTGCTGCTGAGCCAATTCCCACCTGTGACTCACACACTGCACTCTCCCCAGGCTCATATGTTTGTTCTTTTCAGTCTTTGTTGTTTCCATTAGTCTAAAGTAAAAGTCATCCAGGCTGAAAGGACGTGTTTGTTCTCTGCTGATGAAAAGCACTAATGTCCCCTTGCAAAGAATTAAATCACCTGTTTTGTGCTGAATCACAAGCAGAATACTGCTCTTATCCACCCTGGAAACTGTGTGTGCTAAATTCTTCTAAAGAACTATTACAAAAGCGTGAGATATGGCAAAACTGGGAAACTACCAAACTAATTAGTTAAGAATAATAATTGTTGACTACTAGGAACTTCATTGTGGACATGTACTGCAAGAATAAAAATATGCTGCTGCAGTGTTATTTTCAAACAATAAAAAAATCAAACCAGTGCCTTTGATTGTTATTTTGTTGTTACAGACTCAGATTAGCCCCAAGGAAGGGTGGCAAGTTTATAGTTCAGCCCAGGATCCTGATGGCCGTTGCATTTGCACTGTTGTTGCACCTGAACAAAACCTATGTTCAAGAGATGCCAAAAGCAGGCAGCTCAGACAACTACTAGAGAAGGTAAGTCTTCCAAAAAAGTTCCTCCTCTTGGTCATTAAACTTCCCATGGAAATCTGCTGCTTTCCCCTCTCAGTTAATACATAATGAACTAATGAAGAGTTACCTGATAAAAATTGTTCTTCAGGGTATATCCCTTACCTATGTTCTCGTCTCTGATCATTATTTATCTATTTTCCTTACATCACACATTTCCCAACCCATCTTCTCTCTTAGACACTCCTCCCAAATTCTTTCTTACATACAACAGGTCAGATTTTGCTGTGTAAAACCAGTTAGAAATCCCACCTCAAACTAGCTCAGTGCTGTGGGATTTAAACTACAGCTTCTGCTTCGATCATCTGAGACTGCTGAAAGTCATTTCTCATCTCTTATCAAAAAATAATGAGAGAGACACCACAGCATCTTGAAAGCAAACTGTGCAGAGCATAAACAGTTCTAATTTTTTCATTGTTTGTTTTCCTCAAGTTTATTTATTCATTTTCTGGTACTGCAAATTTTCCCCAACAGCCCAATTCTTAATTCCAGTATTATCCACTATTGCATATATGGTGAAACCAATGAACTCTTGCTTTGCATCAACAGAAAAAAATGTTGCAACTATGAAAACACAAACATCTGCATTCCCTGTATAAGTAACCAAGGTTACTTACACAAGGTTACTGTATCACAGCCAGTGGTAGAGAACCTGAGGCCTGAGAGTGTTTGAACAGCAGCAAAGTCAACATAAAATGTAGACTTTAAAATACATTTTTAGCGCACAACTTTTAGTATTTTTCTAGCTACAGAAAAATCATTACAGCGTTAATACAGTGCCAGATCCCCATAGATTTTTGCTCCCTGTACTGCATGAACTGCAGAAAGGACTAAGTTGACAGAGCCCATAACATGAGATGCATGGAGAGGACATTGATGGATCAGCAGGGAGAAAAGGAGCTGCCTCCCCTCATGCTGTCTGTTTACTTCAGAAAGGAACACTTCAGTCTTTGCTCCAGCATATTCCCCAAATACTAAAATATTACTGGGAAAAAAAAAATATTTCTTTTGAGGTGGGGGCTGGAGGGGTGTGCTAAGATCCAAACACAGTTTTTGAGCTGCCACAGAAATTAACCTGAATCATCAGCCTCTAAAAGGCATTTTCTTATGATTTGGACACTGGTAATCATGGATATGTAATGTTGTATTAGTACTTCCCTGAGTCCATGCAGTCCCTTAATTAGAGCCTCTATGTGAGTGTGTCTTTTGCCATATGGAAATTCTCAAAGTTCTTTCAGCACCCAAAGAACTTTATTTGCCTGCTTTCAACAATTAGATCGCAAAAAAAAAAAGAACAAACCAACTCTACAATAAGTAATGTATACTATTTTTAAGAGTAGTTTCTAAATCCATGCATTCTGTAGATCATAATGAATTAGCTCCAAACATGAATATCCATTTAAGTATTGCATATTCTTGCAAACCACAGGAGTACTGCTGGGTTTGTCTTTTCTTAGGAAGGTGCAGTATGTTTTGTTTGAGCCAAAACTTCAATAAGGTGCTAATACATTTACAGCAGTCTAGTATTCTCATGATTTAGGAAAACAAAACACTTACTGAAATAGAATAAATACACTTGGAAAACATGTAATTTTTATGGCTGGCAAAAGCATTGCTTTCGTTAGAGAAATTTTTTAAAGTATGTATAATTTACTCTGGATGACAGTTACTGTTGCATCACTGTGGTAAAAGTTTCACTATAGCTACAATACAAAGTCACTTGCTCTACAAAAGTTACCTAAACATTCACTACTTTTCATCTGTAAAAAAAAAAAAAAAATGTGGTTTTCTACCGCTGAGACAATTGGATAAAATTTCTAATTTTACATTTACTTACAGAATCATGAGGAAATACCTCTGTGGTGATTGACACACCCCAGCTTATCTCTGGGCAGTATTATGAATGCCTTATATTGAATGATTCTATAAATGTCTACTAACAATGAAAGTCATGCTGCTTGTATTGGCCAAAGTCCCAAAATTTCAGTCCTGTCCCTCCCAAAGTGCCTGAAAGGAAATATTTGCTATATGAGCACCTTCTGAACCACAGTCACATCTACTGCAGGTCTCAAAGTAGACTCTATTGCCTGACAGCCTTTCCTGAGCCCAATGAAAATGATGCTTAAAGGATCTCTCTCTCTTTACCTCTAGCAGTCCAAACAATTTGTGGCTTCAAGGTCTTGCCCTGTTCCCCAATGTTTGTGCTGTTATTCAGTTACAGAATGTAGAACTGTACTGTGGTAGAAATGACTCACAACTAATTGACAGAAGTGCATTTCATTGCCTGACATTTAACCAGGAAAAAAGCAAAGCAACAAAAAGTGCATTTAGAGAGTGTTCTTCTTTAACAGGTTCAGAATATGTCCCAGTCTATTGAAGTTTTAAATCTACGGACTCAGAGGGATTTCCAGTATGTCTTAAAAATGGAAACACAAATGAAAGGGCTGAAGGCCAAATTTCGGCAAATTGAAGACGATCGGAAGACATTAATGACAAAGCACTTTCAGGTAGGTTCTATTTTATCAGTAACTTTGAAACCTGCTGGAAACCATGTACTAAATAGCAATGCATGGACTGCTAAGGTCTCAGCTTGAAATGCTCCTACACGAGTGCCATTTAAAAGAAAAGCATAATAAATCATCCTTTATGATGATAATCTTTTGCTCTGTTCAATTTAATTGCAATAGGGAGGAACTATTAATTATTAAGTCATTAGAGAAATGTCACTATAAACAGACTCCTGTTCTTTCTGTATCAATATCTATGTCATACTGAGAAATTTGTATTCTTTCAAGCTCCAATGCTAAAGGGGAGATGCAGTGGAATTAATAGCAAACAAGAGAGTTCTGCACGCATAGTTTTGCATGACGTTTACTGCAGTTGAAGGGAAGAAAGGCTATAATAAATCAGTTTATTGTAATTTTTATCCAGTACAATTAAGATCTAATTTCATGTCTGAAGGTCTGCTGTTTTAAATTTGGGATGGGGATGAGGGCAATCACTCCCAGTCACATTTGTGTGATTAAAAAAAGACTTCCACTGAATTTTAATGACAACAAAAACCACAAGCCAATCCTTTTGTGAGGAAGAAGGGTTGCAGATATTATAAGTAGCATTGTGTATTCTGAAAAAGCTACCTGAAGTACTCTTCAGGAGAAAACTATTTCAAGAGCATATTTAAGTTCTTTAAATATCAAGTATGATAAATTGATCTGTCAAGACTGAGAGACCACAAAATAGGTTCTAGAAAATACATTCTGAATATAACATAAATGCATCTTAAGCAAATATATATTTTTTGAGGAGTTTCTGAAAGTTCACATAAAATGAACCTAATTTTCCAATTGGTGCTAGAGTTCGATACCTAAATAATTACATAGCCAAGAGATCTAGGGTTTTTTTCAGAGCCATTGAATATCAAGTGGGTCTTAATAACATCAGGAATTAAGCACACTAATGATTTGACTAGCAAGCTTTATAAATTATGTCATTGTTCATAGTTTAGACCTGTTCGAGCACATACTCCCAGGTTTTTTGTTAATAAGAAACATCTTCACCTTTTTTCTCTTTTACCCCTTACTGCTACAATAACAACAAATTTGCATAATTTCATTGTATGTCCTGTATTCTCATTTTAATGTTCCTTGGAAACGAAATATCAAAATTTTAATGTCTCATATACAATGTCAGAGGCCAAAGAATACTCCAGTGCTCTAACCTTTTAAATATTCAATATTTCTATTGACCAGTCATTTACCTTCAGTTTGACAGTTTGCCAGAAGTATAAAACAGAGTTCCAGACAATCCAGTTATAAAATAATTTAAAAGGTGAAAATAATACAATATGCTGTTCTGAAATTTAGTCTACTAAAATTCCAGTGCTTTATCTTGCCTGAGACAAAGAAATAATGTTGGATATAACATAATCCTTCATATCAAGTGCCACAAAGTTCCAGAACACATCTGCCACCTATCTATGTTGCAATAGAAATTATTAGTTCTTTTACCACTCATTACAGCAACAAGCTCTGGAGTGTCAGCAGAAGCCAATTTTTTTTATATCATGAAAATACCAGAATAAACTTTATATGATTTCCTGAAGTGAGATATTCTATGTTTTCATGTTGACCAGTACCAAGGAGTACAAATTTCGTCCAGATCACACTTGAGCATATAGTCAGTCCATACTTGACTTTGTGCCAGGCAGGGGGTACCTGATTGCCACAAAATGTTACAGCAAGTTTGCTCAAATATGATACATCATCTGGCATAAATTCTACCAGGAAAAGAATACCTTCACTAATTCAAACACATTTTATCTTCCTGAGTTTTTACAAGCTTTGCATTTTTTCCCATTACAGCTTACCTGTGGTTTTTGGTGATTCACTGTCCCACAGCACTATAGCCTAAGTTCATAATTGCAAAATGAAATAATTGCAAAATGAAATAACAAAAACCGTGGTTTCTGGAGCTATTCTTTCTCTGTCACAAAGCCTACTTCCCCTGTCATCAAGGAAAAAATTACTATTCATTTTAACAGCATAAAGTAGGTTTAGATTAAAATTTTAATAAAAACAGCCAAATATAAATAGTTTTAACTATAAACAAAAGGAGTTCACTTCTTTGCACCCATTTCGGTAACTCTGCTGCTGTAATGCAATTGAAAGACCCCTTGAGAGCAGAATCAACAGAAGTAATATTCTGAAATTCATATATAATGACATATCTGCTATGTTTTAGTAAAGTAAAATCTTTTGACTGCAAGGATTCTTTGAGGTTTTCTACAGAATAATAACAAAAACCAACTTCAAACACTGCTTTAAATTTAGTAAAGCCCCTATTATCAGTGCCTTTAAAAGAATAATTAAGAAATGAAAGATGGGCGATCAACATACGCTACAGATTAAGACAAGTTCTCAAAGTATGAGTCTCAAAAAAAAATCCAAGAAAAGGGCAATCTGAGATTTCAAGGTGGAGCCTTGCTTTCTTCAGTCAGTGTTTAAGAATAGGATTGGCAATGCAACAGCTGCACATGGCAAAAAAAAAAAACATTGGTGATATTCCAGAAGAGATGTCAACTGACCAAGTTCAAAAGCATTTAGTGATGTAGCTGGTTGACAAGTACAAATCACAGTTAAGAACCATGGATTTTTACCTCAGAAGAAAAAGTTATATATCATTGTGGCTGGAACAAGAATAAATACTTTTCAACAGACATTCAGACAAACAAAGAATTTAGTACTTCTAGGGAATGAAAGAGAGATTACCAGCTCACCAACTAAGTATGAGAGCTCTGTAAGCCAGGTATGATCTTGAGCACTACTGTGCATTCAGGCCTGTTCATCTTCTGGTGAAAGACACACTTAGGGGTGGTTCATATCCTCTAGATGGAAAGTCAGTGGGTTTGGTTCAATCATTTGAAGATAAGTCTTTACTTTCAATAGAAAGACTATTCTTTCATGCATTTAATTTACTGCTTACTACCATGAAGTCTGAGACTTTAACAGAAGACTAATAATAGATCTGCAAATAAATAATAATTTTCAAGTTGTTTTAATAATTAGGCATAAATATTACATGAAAGAAAATTAGGGGATTTAACTCCTTTAAACTTCTCTAATGCACATGATTGCATTTAACAGGAGTTGAAAGAAAAGATGGATGAGCTCCTGCCACTGATCCCAGTTCTGGAACAATACAAAACTGATGCCAAGTTGATCACACAGTTCAAAGAGGAAATTAGGAATCTGTCTACTGTGCTTACTGGGATTCAGGAAGAAATTGGTGCTTATGACTATGAGGAACTACACCAGCGTGTAGTCAATTTAGAAACCAGGCTTCGTGACTGCATGAAAAAGCTCAGTAAGTTAACAAGTTCATGGCAAATTTGGTCCCTTGGCTGTGCATTTTTATTTGTCTCTCTTTAGAAAGATTAAGATTTGTGGGGAGGGGGGATTTATTTGTTTCTTTGATGAAAGATTGCATTATATTCTGATCTGTGCTACCATAATAAAAGACAAGAGTAACTCAACCTAAGGTCAGTTATATTATTCTAAGTACATGATATAATGTACTGCCTTCCTGTATACAGAAGCAATTAGATGAAAAATTATAACAGATAGCAAATTCAAAATCTGAGGTTTAAACCACTTGGAGAGTTACAAATGTTCTTTCAAAAAAGCTCAGACTGCTGCTAGAGTCATCTTTGGGCTGCCAATGTGAAGGAAAAAGATAGTGAAAAGTAGACTGGAATCAGTTTTGAGATGTCCACATCAAAACCCAGGCATCTTGCTGTATCACCTGAGAGGCCACCCTGACTGAAATGTTTTAGTCTGTAATATTAGTGCTAAGGAGATCTCCCCTTCTCCAAGTCATGTTACAATCTAATCAAAATTCACAACTAACTTAAAGGGACCAAAGCATGATTTCTGCAGGATGCACAGCAGCAGTCCATTGCTACTGCTGCACCAGGTTCACCTCAGGCCACCTCCATATTGCCTGCTCCCATGCTGCCTTTACTTAGAAGTCAGACGTTGAGCATTTTTGAAAATCAGCACTAGCTCAGTATCAGCTACTAAAACTAAAGGCCTAAGGATGAATATCAAGTGTCAGCCTCGACTTCCATTAGGGATAGGTAACCTGCTGTACAAACACAATGCAGTCTCCCCTCTTCCCAGTCTATGCATGCATTTGGAGAATGGATCACTGTTGCAACCTGGATAACTACAGCAAACAATCCAGCTCTTTTATGAAAAAATAAACACTTTGCAATTTAACACTGAATATAAATAAACTTGAAAATCTGAGGTTTAGGCCTGTGATCAGTGTCTCAGTTATCAGTTATTAAGTGTGAGATGTTTACTTTCAAATGCTACCCAGGACATTAAATATCTTCTTAACCGGATAAGCAGAGCCTCCTTATTTTTGTGATGCAGTAGAATGAGAAAAATCTAGGTTAACTTAGCCTCTTAAATAATTTATTTCTTTATTTTATTCTGGAAATAGCACAGTGGTGATGTGCTAAAATACATGAAAGACTTCTTCAAACAGAAATTTCTTATGATCCTATTTCCCCTCAGTACACACACATAATAACACATTACTGCATTGACAGAAGGCAGTTGGGAGAAAACGGTTGTGTTGCAATACTGCAGCAAACAAGAAAATTCCTATGAATAAAAAGTATTTTCTGATAGTGAGTGTTCCAGTAAATTATTAGATACAAAAAATCATCAGTTTAACAAGTATCTTGTTTTTATTTGCTTTGACAGCATCTTGTAACAGCAGTTAGTGAAGCAATGACAGTGTGAGATATATTTTGTACAGCGGAATTTCTAGATGTATTGACATCCTATCTATCCTGGATTCCTGCAACACATTCTAATCTCTTTATGTACCTAATGAAAAAAAAACATTAAAATTACATATATTAGCAGAAGAGAAAAAGTTTTTGTATAAAATAAATTATTAAGCATATCCATTATCAAAAGGAAGTGGACCTTCTCAAGATGTAACACATATTCATTCATCCTTATTGTCATTATTCCCTGCTCTTAGATGCTTAAATGACTTTTATGGTCCCCTACTAATGGACTGGCTGTTTTCCTGGCCTATTCCTGTGTGCCTTTTGAAGTGCAAGAAGTTTCAGTTCAGCTTCCTATAACTGCTGAGAGCTGGGGCTGTGTGCTCAGATCAGAGAGCATGAGGGGAAAGCAGCTTTCATACCAACACCTGCTTTGTGGCCATATTGGCCATGCTGGAGATGACCCAGCTGTGCCTGGCCATGCCAGCCTAATAGCCAGAAGCCAATGGCCCCAGTGGGCCACAGGATCTGGCTTGAATCTTCACAGATTTTATTGCATTTCACAATACAATTTTCTAATCAGTGTATGCAATAGCTATTCTCTATTCTTCTCCCCAGCAGGTGTTTTTCAGCAGTATAATGCATTATTTATATTGTCCTGGCCACTTGAAAGGGTTCTTCCATCTGCACTGGCAACGCTTTCAACACTCATTACAGTACACTAAGCAGTTATCTTACTTTCACTGAGGTTTAATGATTACCACAATAGTTGTGATGACTGAATGTTGCTCCTTCTCTTTGGAATAAGAGAAAAATCAAGATGAAGCTGCTAGGAAATTAGCTGACAAAACTTTTAAAGGGTGCATACAGCTAAACACATAGGAATAGTGTGCATGTGATTACACACACCCCGAATTCACATGTAATTATGTATGTATGGGTCCTTTGCTTTAAGTCATGCGTATTTATAAGAGAATATGGGTTGCACAGGAATCCTCCTATTCTTGTCATGACATGTTTATGAAATTGGAATAAAATGGGTAGTAATAGAAGCCAATATTCTGACATATAATTAGAGTAGATGTATATTGGATTCATGTCTAGCTACATCTGATTATAATGTAGACTCTGAACAATATTTTACAGTAACATTTTTTGTTAGAAATTCAAAAGTAGAATATTCTGTGTATCCAAGGAAGTTCTGTTACATCAGTGGCAAAGGAGCTATTAGTGCAGGCATGAGATTGCACTAATTGATTGCAGTGGTACTTCTACTTCCAAATCATCCTTCCCTTTGGGATTTGAAGAACTTTACAAATATCATTTAGTATAAAACTGGGAAATAGAGGTATAGATTCTTATCCCTATTTTGTAGAACAAAAGGAACAAGCAGCCCAAAAGTATAAATGATTTTTCCCAAGATTACACAGCAAGTCATGGCACCGATGCAGAAAAATCCAGGGACTTCATCTCAGCAAACTCTAATAACTGTATTATAGTTCTTTCTGGATTCATATTATGCAGGAAAACAGACATACATTCATTAAGAACTAATTCTTCATTCCCTCATACTAGTACGTTATGACAAATTTGACCATAAGCAGAAAAGTACAAGCAGTAAAACACTTCAATTCATTTGTGCACGTGCCAAAAAAAAAACCTCACTTCATTTTTCCTTATTTATTACCTACAAAAAAAAACAAAAAACAACAAAAAACATTAAAATTACGCTTATGAACACTTCAAGAGAATGCAGTGGTTTTATTTCTCAAATACAAATGATGCACTCAGTTGCTCTATGGCAGCTACCAATATTCAGTCACATCACACAGAATGGGACTATACCCATTTCTAGCTATTACAGAACAGCCCCTCTCCAGCTGCACTGTCACAGCCTCCTCCTGGTATTTGCTCACTTGGGAGCTTTCCACACACATTCTGCCCCACATACTTTCACAGCCCACAGGCTGTACAAAAGTCCATCTGTTTTCTCTTCTAATGGTCACTTCATGCTCAGCTTCTTCCTTAATGGAAATAAATGCTAGGAATCATGAACAGAGTTACAGGAGTCCACTGTACAGAATTGTTACAGGAGAGGAGTCAAGCCAGAAACACCTGGATTGTGCATATGATGTTTCTTGTGCAGCTCAGTTTAGGATGTAAAAAGACTCTATGATTGGGATTTTCCAACTACTACAATCAGTTATGGCTGGGACTTTCTAACATAGGCAGCTGCTTCTTCCAAAGCCAAGGGAAAGAGACTGAAGGCTTCCAAAAATCCACTGCTTTTCTGTGTAACCCTATCTGAACCTCTTAGGGAAGGAAAAAAAAAAAAGCCTAGAAGTTTCACATTTTTCTCAGAGTACCTGAACTTCTTCACATGTGCTAGTATGGAGATGTATTTTACCTAACTTTTTACTACCATCTTTTCCTTCTAGCAGGGACTCAAATTGCTATAAACCAAAACTTTTTGTATGTTCCCTTCTGTCAGGGGAAAACAAAAAAGTGTGAGCAGGGAGGAGGGATTTGGCTGTGTTAAAAAAAGAAAAATCTGCATAGGCTGGTTTTAACTGTCAGCCCCCTCACTGCTGTGGAAAATTCATAGTCCAGAAGTGATGTCCATTTCACATTATATTTGTCTCTGTTGTATTTCTTTACACACAAAATGAGCTAAAGAAATCCATCAACTGGAAACTAATTGGAATTTTCCTTAATTTCAATATCTCAGACTTTTCATGACAGAAAAATTTCAGGTAAATCATCCTGCCTTCAATACATTAGTATTACCATTCCCTAGCGAAAAAATAACAAAACTCAGCATGCAAGATCAACTTTAATACAGCCACCCAAACAATTAAAGGTTCATTCTGCAGCTGAGAATACAGGCAGGGATTAGATCAATACTCTTAAGCAGACAAGAAGAAGCTGTTACCAGCTTTGGTGGAGGAGTAGGGAAAATTTATTGGTCTGAAAGCAAAGTTGGAAGTTCTTAAAACCAAGAGAAAACTCATCTTGTGTCAGTGAGCTGTTAAACATGACTTCTGCAAAAGTTACTCGTGCAGCCTTAAGCAGTTTAAAGCAGTATCAGCTGATTCAAGTTGACCATTCAGCCAAGACTTGCTTTGGGGCCATGTCCTTGTCCTTTCAAGCAGTACTTTCTGATTGATTTGAGTTCTTTTACTTGCTCATTAGATAGAAACCCAGTCATAAGGATCTCTCAGCTATGAGGAGGCTGGGATGACAAGAGGTGGGCTCTGACAGCTCTGCTGCTTCCTTTTTTACTGCCCATGCTGTCAGCAAGTAGGTCAGCAGACCTCAGGTGCTGCTGGGGTTTACAGAAGAAGCTTGCTGATGGCATATGAATTATTACTACAACAGGAATGACTTTATCATACATGGAAAAAATAGTATTCCTTAGTTTTAAATACCAGTTTCATCAAATTATATAAAAAAATAAGCAGATCTATGGGTTTCTGTTTAATGAGGAAGGAAAAGAAAAATGGCACCGACTATAGGGCAGGAGGGGAAAAAAATCCTTATGCTTCTTGCAAAGTGCTCTCTTTTGTTACTCCAAAAAGGGAAGCTTTGTCATTTTTTCAGTCAGCTGCCCCTCAGCTATACAGCAGTTCTCCTAAGAGTCTTCCTTTCTTGATCACTGCATGCTGTCTGGGAATAAAAATTTGATCAGAAATATACCCTGACTCAAACTGCTGATCATTTAGCAGTTGAAGTACAATGTCATCCCTTTTCACATTGAACAGCATCTCAATACATTTTGAAAGATCATTCTCTAAAAGCATCTAACTCTTGTGACAGGGCTACACAGCTCAGTTCATACACTTTAAACCAAATGAAAGCTGAAGAAGTTCATTAATTATTAACAATGTGTAACTATAATCAGTGAGTTATACATTCAGAATAAATACAATACAACAGAGGAACCACAGTACTGATGCTTAAGCACACAAATCTCTGAACTGTTCTGTAAGCTCCAAAAGCTCCTCACACACAGAGCAGCACCCAAACAGCCCCAGAGCTGTGTGCACACCCTGCAGGGACTCCAAACACTCCCTGCTTGTATCCCTGTCCCACTGCAGCTCCAGGGGCTCGAGCCTGCTGTGTGCCCGTGCTGCTCCCATCCTGTCGTGGCACTGCTGAGCCCACCTGGAGTGCTCACACCTGCCCTGCCTGGGCCCTCACAACACAAAAGGTGGCTCTGGGAGCCCTCACATCTCTGCCAGGGGCTCTTCCATAACTTTTACCCATTCAGGAGCAAAATTTCACAACTCATTATTAACATATTTTTAGCTTCCTGGATTTCTTTTTTCATAGAAGAAACAGTGCTCCAGACTCCAAATTCTTTTTCTGCTTTCCCACTAATTGCAATACTGTGTTGTAAAGGCACCAGTTAGTATTAGCATACCTTATAACTCATGCATTCACTGTGTTTTAATTATGCTAGAAACTACAAGTACAGGTGTAATTGTTATTCTGATTTCATTCTGCTTATTAGTTTTCTGATAACTCATTCCAAGTTAAGTATTCCAAATTCAGACTCAAATGTTCTGAAAGGTTGTCTCTTGCCCATTTCTGAGACTATGTACAAATAGAACACCTAAATATAAAAGCCTTCACCTTGATTGATTATAGTCCTCTACCTCTCAAGCTGATAGCAGTTAATGATGTAGAAAAAGAGCACTCAGCACACAATGCTAGCAGCCTACCTACAAAAAATATCCAGAATAAAAAATTACCCTATCATAATCAAGTATTAAAGAAACTATAGGATTCTTTAAAATGGGAAAATCCAATAGTATCTCCAAAACACATACATACATAGATTGAGATATGTCTCTTAATAATGTCTCTTAATTGACCCAGAAAATAGACACAGCCTGCCCTGCTCATTGAATTCTCAGCATGCATGCAGTTGTCTTCATTTCCCATACGTCCAGCTTCCCTGGCTGTGAACAAAAACTGCCCAAGCAGCCTCTGAGTGTTCACCACAGCATTAACCCCATTCTAAGTGACCCAAATAGGCTGGCATAATACATTCCTTTGCAGTTACAGAGTATAAAATTCAGGCTTGATGTGACCCTCTTGAGCTGAATAAATTCACTCTCAACACCAGATATCCACATTTCCAAGGTATGGTTATCAGTACAGCACAACCATGTAGCACAGAGAAGCACTTATTTATATATTTTAATAATTAATTAAATGCTTCGCTTGGTTTTACATTCTTTTCTTTTAAAACATGCTATTCGACCTAATTATGTGCACACCACTGTGTGATATTAAATCTTGGTAAACACATGAATTCCACCAGGAGCTTGTTACTAATAGATATCTTACTAAAGTCCCCTAAAATATAGATTTTTGAGTTGTTAGGAAGGTCAGCATCCGAGATGGTATTGACTTTCATTATTTCCTCCCAGACAGTCAAATGGATTAGAAGCCAACCAATACAGCCAAGCTTGCTAAATACTTCTCATAGTCACTTTCTTCTGTACAGAAAGAGCCATGGGTGTGTAAGCAGGGGGCAGTCAGGCACAAGCTTTGAGTTATTGTACACAATGTTGTGTGTACAAGCTCGTTTATGTGTCTGCCCTTAACAACCTTGGTACCCTGGCCAATGGAAAACTGAAACATTCATCAATCCCAGCTTTGTGCTGAACTTTCTGAGGGCAAAACTGGGCGGGGAATTAAGTCTTCATTTCATTTGTAATTAAATGCTCTTCACTTCAGCTCAGAAGATACTCTACCAGATGTATTTTAGCTTATACCCAAAGACCATAACTGTGCTTCAAAAGATACAAATACAAAAATATATAACAATAAAATTTTATGTGTATATTTTTGCATATTTATATTACTCTTCAATATGGAAAAGTTGCTCCAGTGAAAATGACAATCAATCTTCAACAAAAACCTGAATCCCTTGGATTGCTTCCCATGTAGTTTGGAGCATTTGGTCTTGTGCTCTAACTGATGTCAAGGAGAGTTGTGCATTAATGCATTTTTGGTTTTTTATTTCAGCATGTGGCAAATTGATGAAAATTACAGGCCCTATTACAGTGAAGATATCTGGAACCCGATTTGGAGCCTGGATGACAGATCCATTGGCATCAGAGAAAAATAACCGAGTATGTTAAGGCACCATCTTTATGTTCTAGACTCTTAGTTGCTTTATTTTAATCTTTTAAAGAATATTTTCCCCGAGGAAGTTAAATTTTCTACTTCATTCATTTTCACACTCAAACATCTCCAGAGAAAAAACAGTATTTTTTGGAAAAATATCCAAAGACAAAAGTTATCTAAGCACTTTTGTGCCATTTACTTCAACTTTTTTCAGGGTTGACAAACATCTATCAGAACTGACAACCCAGTTTTTTAATTTTCTAACATATTTAATTGTGTTTAGGTCTTCTAAGAGCCAGAGGAATCTACAATAAATGTCAACATTTTAACCCAAGAGCAGGACCCATAATGCAGCAGAGTTAAAATTGGCAGGATTAGGGCCCATATAAGCTCCAGTCAGATCATTTTCTCAAAGTTATGTTATTGTTTTGTCGTTTGGATCTCCAGTAGGATCTCAAATTGGCTACAGTTTTGAGAAGATGCTGTCTCCATCAAAGGGCTTTGGAAGTCAAAGCATTAGATTTCATTTGTATGAGACCCACAACATTAATTCTTTGAATACAGAAAAAAAAAACAAAGACAACAGAAAAGGAAAAAGAAAAATTATAATAAATAAAGATTTGTGTGCAGCTCTCCCCTGCCTGCTGTGTTCATGCAGGTTTGCTACTGACTCCAGAAATCTTAGTTACCTTTAGGAGAGAAACAAACTCTGAGAAACTAAAAGGAGAAAAAGCAAATTGTGTGGAGGAAAAAAATGGGCGAATGGAAGTTGCAGAAGAACATTAAAAAGAAGTAGTAATTCTGTTTTAAGGGGAAAAATGGCTTTGAAACTTTACTTGTTTCATTGTTATTGTTTTTGATTCCTTTACTAAGAAAAGACTATTTTTCTTTGAATAGAGAATCAGCTGAAAAAAATTTAACCACATTTATCCCTAAATATAAATTCAAGTTTATCTCACATGGCATTTCCCATCTCTCTCTTAGATTATTAGTCCCTAGAAATATGAAATTTATACCATATAGCAGCTGCTCAAACACTGAATAGTCCAGAATTCAATTTCTCTGCAAATGCAGACACTGTAGTTAGTAACAGTTGTGTTGAGAGTTCACCTGTACAGGTAAGCTTGATTCAAAGTTCCTCCTGCTTTTGTAACTGGAATGTGGGCAATATTGCACTTTGATAGCCTGCTGCACATCTCCAACTTGTTTTTCTTCTTTTTCTGCAATGTCTCCATCGTGCCATGTCATACCACACACTGTGTTCAAGATGTTCACTCCCAATCTGTTTTCTTTCCAGGTCTGGTACATGGACAGTTACACTAACAACAAAATTGTCCGCGAATACAAATCCATCGCCGACTTCGTCAGTGGGGCTGAGTCAAGGACATACAACCTTCCATTCAAATGGGCAGGAACCAACCACGTTGTCTACAATGGCTCCCTCTATTTCAACAAGTACCAGAGCAACATCATTATCAAGTACAGCTTTGACACGGGGCGGGTGCTGGCGCAGCGTAGCCTGGAGTACGCTGGCTTCCACAATGTCTACCCTTACACCTGGGGTGGCTTCTCTGACATCGACCTGATGGCAGATGAGATTGGGCTCTGGGCTGTGTATGCCACCAACCAGAATGCAGGCAACATTGTCATCAGCCAGCTGAACCAGGACACGCTGGAGGTGCTGAAGAGCTGGAGCACGGGCTACCCAAAGAGAAGTGCTGGGGAATCCTTCATGATCTGTGGCACCTTGTACGTCACTAACTCGCACTTAACGGGAGCCAAGGTCTACTATTCCTACTCCACAAAAACCTCCACTTATGAGTACACAGACATTCCTTTCCATAATCAGTATTTTCATATATCCATGCTTGACTACAATGCAAGAGATAGAGCTCTCTATGCCTGGAATAATGGACATCAAGTCCTGTTTAACGTCACCCTTTTCCACATCATTAAAACTGAGGATGACTCATAATTTTCTTTCCCTTACCTCCCTCCCTCAAAGCAGTCTCATTTGTGATTAACTCTGAAAGAGTCCATCTCGCTCAGTTCCTTTTAATTTACATTTCTTTCTTCATTAAACAAAAGCAACATTTTCTACTATGTAATGCATTTCAAATATGGCTGAACCTGTCAAAAAGGACCTGTCAGAAATAAAAAGCATCTTAAGTCATGATTCTGCAAGGTCTGTCAAGACCTTGTCTTGAAAAGCACTAAAGAGGATTTAAATGGCTAAAGACAGTTTTTAAGAGATTATGATCTGCCTTATTTTAGAGTCAGAGACTAATGGTGGCTTAAATGCATGAATGTCTTTTTTTACCTCATTTTTTGTTTTAATATATTGCTTAACTTCAGGAAACATTTTGGTAGTGTCAGACATGTTGCACATTGTATTTTTTTATTTATTCTGAAAGAAAGATTTAGGAATTTAATTACTTAGACAAGGAGTATGATTCATTTTGCCATCATCCAATTTCAGATGTGGTGCTGTACAGTATGTTTTTAAATCTCTTGCAAGCATTTTATCAACAGTATGTATTTCTACCATTGTAACCACCATTGTGCAATTGTATCTCTTCACTTATGTGAAAGTAAACTAAGTACTATTTTTTATAAAATATATTGAAGCTTAATTGCAATTCTGGCTATGAGTCAATTGAAAGTGGTAAAAATCTGATAAAAGGTTGTTATTTCTGAGAAAGACCAGTACCTTCTCAGATGCATGATTTTTATTCTCAGCTTTGCTTCCTAGATCCTCCTCTTCTCCACTGGTGCTTACTAGCACATTCACAACTTTGAAACTTCAGACCAGTTCCAAAACTTGCTCTGCCCAGTTTTTATCTCCTGCTGCTGAGTTCTCTATCTTTTTCTCCTATTTTCTTCCCTTCCACCATTTGATTGCCCTTGTTTATGCTTATCCCTGCTGTGAACTTTACAAGCCAGAAGCTGGAAGGGGCTGGTGCCTGCCAGCTGAGAGTGGGAGTGCATCCTGTGTTTGTGCTGCTCTGGGGCACCGAGGAGCAATGGTAAAAGCCAAGCTGCTCTCCGTCTGCCTGCCTTCTTATTCATAACAGGAGAACATTTGTCTATTGGCAAAACTCTTCTCTGGGATGACAGCAACCACAGAAAATACACCAGGGAAGGTGCAAAGCCCAGGTGATCACTGTGGCCCCTGGTATTCATCATAATTCCTGTTAGGGAACAGCACTGAGGCCAAGCTCTTGCAAAGATGTTTGGGGCTTGCTAAGAGTAGAATTGCTACAACCAAACTGATGCCTTCACAAAACAAATACTTCTGAAAGCTGTGTGGGTTGCTGTACTGTCTCATTAGAAACTGAGGGGCAGGGAGAGGTGTGTATAATTGAGAAAAAAAGAATGAGGTGCTATATATCTCTTCTGGCAAAAATTGAAAGAAAGTAGCATTAAACACTAGTAACGAGAGTTTTTTTATTAGCTGGGTTCTAACATAATGGAAAAAGACAGGTATCTGAAAAATTCTGTGAAAGCTGTATTGCTCACACTATCTGAGCTTCTAATTTTATATCCTTTGAAATTGAAAAGCCAGACATTTTATTTGCTGGTTCTTCTGATGTACCAGTTGAGACCATCTAAATTCTCATTAATGTTTTCATTATTATAATTATGTGTCTATATATGTTTACAAGCATGATTTATAATACAAGCCCATGTGAAGTTGAACAAATTGCCTTATTTTTCCTACCAGCTGCAAAACAAAAAATGCTAATAAGGTTTCAAGAACTGATAAAGGAGGAAAAAAAAAACGCAAAAAAAACAAACAAAAAAAACCAACCCCACAACAAACAACAAATTACATTACAACATGACCAGAGAAAAGTTACTTTCTTGTTCCCATCTCCCCTCTCCTAGACAAAATTGTAGCTGTTATCCCATACAATCATTTACACAAAATTTGGACAGACTCAGTTCAGCTAAACAGACAAATTAAATCTCTTCCCTCCTGTAACCAACTTTCCTGTATTGACAATGAAACCTCCTCTGTGACATGTGAAAATGTATATGACTACTCATTAAAAGAGGTATTTTATGTCATACAGGGATGTTTCATGAAAATGGAGTATGTTCAGATTTTTATCAAAAGCCTTAAAACAAACCTCAACCTTTCCCCTGTAATGAGTAACTTCAACAAAATAGATATTTTTTTCATCCAGTACAGTATTAGTAAGAACATCAGTCATTAGATTGAGAAATTAAACTTCTTTCTACTGTATCATCATAAACTAGAAGAATAGTCATGATCACTTTACCTGAAAACAGTGGTCAACATCATATTTCTTTATAAGAATTTCATATTGTATAATTAGCATACATGCAGTAGTAGAGGTTGATAACAGTTGTTACAGTAAGATAACTCTCACCTGATTTCAGTACCATTTACAGGGTAACACACTCCTATTAGTCAAAAGAAAGACAGAAACAGACACTTCTACAGGGTGCTAGAGATGGATGGAAAACGGGTAGGAAAAGCACTTTTGTAAGGTAATTTATCATACCAAGATAAATCCCGCCCTTCTAAATTAGTAACAACAGATTGGACTCCAATATTTAAACATGAAATAACAGTTTCCATAAAATCAATACAAAACATGGCAAGGTATTATCAAGTACCACAAGTTTCTGCTAAGGAGTACTCGTTTTTCTGTGAATGTTTGATCACCTATCTCTTCAAAATTGGAAATTCCAAAGTAATATTCCCATAAGGCTGAAAACACCATGCCTCAATTTAAGCAGATTTCTGTAACAAGCTTTGCTTTCATAATTGAGCAGCACAAGCAGAAAATCTTTGTAATGTAGAAGCAACCTACAAGTTTTATAGGTGAAGTACATGCTTTTTATTATGATAATGGGGTACCAATAAAATGGGGGGGGGGGGAAAACATCTCCTTAAACATGGGGAAGTTAATTGCAGAGTCTGTTTCATCTAAACGACCTCCTGTTTCAAGGGATAAACATGTAAAAAGACCATGTCACTCTCCCCCGAAATCAGGGTACCTAAATTTCACCAAGCTGTGCTGGCAGCAGAGAGGGATGCAGACAACCCCAAATCTAGCCCAGGAACACAAGCCTGCCAATCCTCCAGGCATCCTGTCCTGAGGGAACCTAAGGAACATGAACTGTGCACACCACAAAGCCCATAGCACTCTTCCCTGGAATGGACTGACTACTCCCCCCAAGACAAAATGGGCAGAACAAACCTTCCCAGAGAAAGATTCCTGCACAGTAATACTCTTCTGTAGTCCCTTCTGGCAATTTGTGCCAGTGAGTAGCTACCAAGTCTATTGTCACTGCACGAAGGGTGTGCAGCCTGCCCTGTCACAGTGTACCAGGCAGAGCACTGGAAGGGTGACTATGGAGCCTCCCCAGCACTGGAATCACTGCTAGCAAACGATGGGATTCAATTTGAAAAATTAAAAGAAAATAACTAAGTAAGATGGATTATGTAAGGTTTTAATCACAGATTGCTTGTATCTAAGAATCCTCCTTTTCAGACAAGCTCAGGGGCACTAGCTGTCCCTCAGCCCAGCAGGCTGGACCCACAGCAAAGGCTGTTTGTTTCAAAGCACAGCCTGAGCAAACCCGTTACCTGGTTATTGGTCATAATCAATTGCTTAGAAAATGCTAGAGTAGAAATGAGCAAACCATTCCCAGCAAATTACTCATCCAGTAAATGTATCCTGTTCCAGTTCAAGAATTGCCAGGAGCAGCCTTGATACATACTGATGTTTGCGCCAGTGAAAATATTTTTTGGAAATCATTTGGATAAGCATCACTTCCTATAAATCACCTGAGCATTCCCTGCTGTGACTCTGACATCCTTGACATTGAAGGCAATGCTAAGCATTTGGGCATCTTTTCCACAAAAGGCAAATGAGGGCTGCAGCTGCAGATATTTGGGGCAGAGCTGCATCCCAGTCTGCTGTGCTGACAAGCTCCCCATGTCACTAATTCCCAGGAGAGCAATTCCTGCACCACAACAGTGTCACAACTGCATCCCACCAGAAACTCACACTCAAAAGGACTCAAGCATTCAAACTGCCTTCTAGAGACCATAAAGCCAGATCCTGAAACTCACTTCCCCAGCGAGAATAGAGACCACTTTATTGCTAGAACTAAAAGCAAAGAGTATTTTCTAAGCTGAACTTTCCTCAGTAATTCTCCAAACATATGATCATATACATGGACATCAACATGCAAGCAAAAAAATTAACTATAAAATAGTTCTAGAATTATAGAATAATATTTTTCCTACAGAAGAGACCGTTTAGGTTATGCAAAGATCATTTTTATGAGGGTTGCTACATTCACTTAATAGGAAACTGAGGAAAGATAGTTACCTAATGCCAAGTTGTGGAAATTATACAAAAATTACCATTTTGTATAGCATAGCTTTTGCCTGACCCTAGAAAACAGAGATTCTATATTGATGCAGTAGCTATGACCACTGATTCACTAAACTGAGGTGTGCAGGAGTTTTCTCAAAACTGCAAACACATCATCCTCCTGAATATTCTGGTATTATGATTAACTACCATTCTTATAGTTTGTCAACTCCTGTAGGCTGCTAGTTGTGGTCAATCAGTGTATTTAGTAAGCATTTCAGGATCACCTCTACACCCCTACATGTTACTGTTTTTCCTCAGAAGCCTCTCACACATTACACACTTGTGTCAGGCCACGAGGGTGGCGAACACAAGGGATTCACCTTTTCTGCAGCTCTCACTAGACAGGAGGGATTATTCATAAATACAGAGATTGACCCCAGATATTAAAACTCTGTTTCTTCCAACATCACCATGGAGAAAATCCTCACTCTTAAAACACAAATAATTTTTATTTATTATTATGTATTATTTATTGATTTAATATGAAGAGTAGCTGCACCAGGTTTATCATAAAAGAATCCAACCTCTTAAAGACCAAGGATATTTGTCTCTGTCTTGAAATATAGACATGGAAGAAAATTCACCTTTTCTTAGAATCAGAAATTTCTATTCAACTCATATACTTCTTGCCAGCTGAGCATCAGCAGAAGAGCCTGTAGAGTTTTCCTCTACCTACTGCTTCAGAACATTCAATTAAAATAATTACATTGCAGAAACATTTTAGCAGTCCAAGTGAAACAAAGCTTCCTCAGGATTTTGTTTCAAAAATGGCAGAGTTTTAAATACAGTTCACTATAAATGAATACAATATTTAGATCAGCTGCATTCTGGCTCCACCTCTGCACCCCCTGTACAGAAGTACCATTTTCCCTAGAAACTGTGTGACTGATACACCATAGCAGCACAGGAAAGTGTATGAAGACACATGAAAATGACAGCTAACAGGTCAGATTCGACATCTCAAAACATAACCTATTTTACTGTGCCTTTTGTACAGAAGCTTGAGGTTTTATTTACACAGTTCTTAGGTTGAACATGAACAGGAAGAAACCACTGGGCCAGAAGTAGTTATTTTTCCCTCACATATTATCAGCCACATGCACAAACCACTCCAGCTTATTTTGCTTTGCATTTTCTCTTCTTTTGTTTGTTCTAATTGTCTTGATCTTCACTTAGACCTGCCCCAACTCTCATCTTGCAGTATGTTTA